GCAGGTCTGGCAGCATCTGTCAAGGAAAAAACAGAGTTAACATTTCATATCTGGTGACCACTCCTCAGTTCTGAGGAAGGGTCACCGGACCCGAAACGTTAACTCTGTTTTCTCCTCCACAGATGCTGCCAGACCTGGTGAGCTTTTCCAGCAGCTTTGTTTTTGAATTTGTTTAAGTGCGGCTGATTGAGCGATAAATGTTGGCCGGAACACTGAGAAGAAGGTATTGTTCTTCGAACGTTGCACAGGGATTTTTTTTTGTCATATCACCCGAGCGGACAAACTGCACCTCGTATCTCATTTACAAGGTGGCATTCTCTTGTGCATCACTCCCTTAAAACAGTCTTCGGATTAAGATGGGAACCCACAATCTCGCATTTAGAAACAAGGCTCCAATAGAGCCGCAGCTGACACGAACGCAGCAGACTAGATGCAGCTCTTCTGAAAAAAAAATTCTGCCTGAATGGTTTCACCTCGATTACACGTTCTGTTATTTTAACATTGTGCAATATATATTACAGTTATCAAAATTATCATTCCCTGGCCATTTTGATTGGCTAGTAATTGCGATTGGCATATATTGTGTGGATAAACTGTATAAAGATAGCACAACAGTCGATTGGGCGCTAGTGACGCCAATCACTAGGAATATACCCAGTGTCTCAGTTATTTCTTTCCTCCATTCTGCGTCCTGTCCACTAGACGTAAATATTTGCATAAAAAGTCAGAGTGTAGACTGAGGGAAAGAATGGAGGTTTGTACGAACTTTACACTATCAAATGTTCACGAACGTTCAGATCAGTCTGATTCTGCAGTGGGGCTATCAGGAAGGGCAAAAAGGAGAATTGCCGAAAGAGGGCCTGTTTAATCGGTGCTTTGTGCTGAACTGTTTTACTGCTGCTCAGTGAAGCATTCCCTTCCTGATGGGCTCTTACTGAAAATGAGACTGAAATGAAAATGAGAAAAAGTGATTATCTGGGAGTTGCAGGGTCTGAGAATTCTTGCTGGTGTTGAGAAACCATCTACAGTGAGAGACAGAGGAAGTCCTGCTGCAAGTGGAAGTCTCATCTTGTCCAGCTCCTTTTAAAATGTAAGTCCGTTTTAAAAATCGGGGCCAGTCTGGGCCCACTCTTAGCTGAAATCGATATGTTTGGATTTTTTTTTAAATTAGTAAACACTAGCTTCATTCCGGGGAAACTGACAATCATCTGGTGTACTGAAACAAAACAGAACTGGAAGCTTCCAGTTTAGTTACCAGTTTTGGAAAGAACCGATGCTTTGACTTTTCATTCGGATTTGAAGAATTTGACTTTTTAATTAAACTTGCTTAAGTAGAGATCCTACTGAGATATTCTATTCCATTCCCACCCTATATTTGGTTCCACGGATTACAGTTTTCTTCCCGTTATGCTCCTTGTCCCACTACTCCCACCCCACCCCAAAAGTGGCGAATGTTTCATTATTCATTTTTTTATGGTTAAAAACTTGCTGTCAGTTAAGTTTTTTGTGACTGTTCTGTTGACTTTTTTTATGCCAGTGATAGTAGCCTGCGAAGAGAGTTTGGGGGACCTTTTTGAGAGTTTGTGAGGCCAAAAATCTTCCCCAAATAACGAGAAAAAGGAACGGACAACTCAAAGTAATACAGCACTGAAATAGACCTTTCGGTCTAACTTGTCCCTGCTGACCAGGTTTCCTTAACAGAACTAGTCCCATTTACTTGCATTTGGCCTATATCCCTCTAAACCTTTCCAATCCATGTACCTGTCCAAATGTCTTTTAAGTGTAATTATACCAGCCTCTACCGCTTCCTCTGGCAGTTCGTTCAATATTGGCCCCACCATCTGTGTGAAAATGTTGCCCCTCAGGTCCCTTTAAAATCTTTCCCCTCTTAACCTTAAACTGTTTCCTGGGAAAAAGGCCTTGTCTATTTATCTTATGTATGCCTCTCACGATTTTATAAACCTCTATCAGGTCACCCCCAGCCTCCTACACTCCAGGGAAAAAAGCCTCAGCCTATCCAGCTTCTCCGTATAACTCAAGCCCTTCAGTGTCGGTAACATCCTTGTAAATCTTTTTTTGTAAACTTTCCAATTTAGTAACATCTTTCCTATAGCAGGGCAACCAGAATTGTACGCAGTACTCCAAATGTGGCCTTACTAACGTCTGATACAGGTGTGACATAACATCGCAACTCCTATACTCAATGCTCTGACCGATTAAGGCAAGCTTGCCAAATGCTTTCTTCACCATCCTGTCTACCTGCAACACCAGGTTCAAAGAACCATGCACTTGCGCCATTAGGTCTCTCTGTTCCACAGGTACTGAGTTCTGAGGAAGGTTCTGAGGAAGGGTCACCGGACCCGAAACGTTAACTCTGTTTTCTCCTCCACAGACGCTGCCAGACCTGCTGAGCTTTTCCAGCAACTTTGATTTTGTTCCTGATTTACACCATTCGCAGTTTTTTTGGTTTTTTTTCACAGGTACTACGGTTGGGAATCCATGAGGGTGCCATTAATAAGCTCTGTGCAGAACTTGCTTCAGCCAGTACTAAGTACACTTTGAGATTACCACCGGTATTGAAATGTTTGAGCATAGAATAGAATAGAATCCCTACAGTGCGAAAGCAGGCTATTCTGCCCATTGAGTCCACACAGACCCTCTGAAGAGCATCCAACCCCCTAACCTGCCCCTCCATTTCCCACCCTAGACACTATGGGCAATTTAGCATAGGCAGTCCACCTAGCCTGCACATCTTTGGACTGTGGGAGGAAACCGGAGCATTGGAGGAAACCCAAGCAGACATGGGGAGAATGTGCAAACTCCACACAGACAGTTGCCTGGTCAAAAAGGACTCGATGAGAAAGATGAACCACTTGTGGTTAACAAAGATGATCAAGAAGAGTTTCCAATCAAAAACTAAGGCGTACCAAATGACGTACTTTGGTTCTGTGCTCACAATGGAGGACACAAATGACATACCATAAATGTTGGGGAATACAAGGTACAGTGAGAGTGAGAGACTAAAGGAGAACAGTACTTGTAGAGAATCAGTGTTGTGGAAATTAAAGGCCAATAAGTCCCCAGGGCCTGATAATCTACATCCCAGATTAAAGAAATACTGGATGCATTACTGGTCATCTTCCAAGATTCTACAGATGCTGGAGCTGTTCCTGCAGTTTGGAGGACCACTAATTAAGCTATTTTATAAGGCAGGCACGGAGAAAACCAGGAATTATAAACCAGACAGACTGACATTGGTAGTAGGGAGTACATCATAAAAGTTTTAATGCAGTAGGGAAGAAGAATATTAGCTCCAAAGATGTGGAATCTATGAATAGAACAAGAAACACCAAGGGGAAGAAACAGTAGTGGGGTTTGTATGTAGACCTCTAAACTGTAGGGGTGATGTTAGGAATGGCATGAAAAAGTAAATTAGTGATTGTATGCAATAGAGGAATGTCTGTATTTATGGGTGACTTTAACCTGCACTTGGAAATCATGTCTGGATGAGACTGAGTCAGCATAGATTTTACGAAATGGAAATCATGCTCACAAATCTGCTGGAGTTCTTCGTAGATGTACCTGGCTGAGCTGAAGAGGGTGCCAGTAGATGTGGTTTATTTAGACTTTCAGAAACTTTTCAACAAAGTCCCACATCAGAGGTTAGTATTATTGAAATGGATCATAGGGATCAGTGCTAGAACCCCAGCTTTTCATGATGCATATTAATGATATGGAAGAATGATGTATAAAATGTAGTATCTTCAAATTTGCAGATGACACAAAACTGAGTGAGAAGGTGACCTGTGAAGAGGATGCAGAAATGCTTCAGTGTGATTTAGACAGGCTGAGTGAGTGGGCAAATGCATGGCAGATGCAGTAGGATGCAGATAAATGTGAAGTTATCCACTTTGGGAACAAAAACAGCAAAGTGAGAATTATAAATTGAGAAGGGAGAATGCTAACGAGACTTGAGTGTCCTTGTACACCAGTCACTGAAGGTAAGCATAAAGGTGCAGCAGGAGGTCAAGAAGTGTAATGGTATGTGTGTCTTTGTGGTGACTAGTTTTGAGTACAGGAGCAGGGATGTCTTGCTGCAATTGTACAGGGCCTTGGTTAGACCACACCTGGAATATTTTGTGCAATTTTAGTCTCCTTTATCTGAGGAAGGATGCTGTTGTTTTAGAGGGAGTATGGCAAAGGTTTAACAGGCTGATTCCTGGGATGGCAGGAGAGGTTCCATTGGTTACGATTTTATTTGCTGAAGTTTAAAAGAATGAGACATGATCTGATAGAAACCTATAAAATTCTAACAGGACTAAATGGGATTGGTGAAAAAAGGATATTCGTTCTCAATGGCGGGGGTGTCCAGAACCAGGGGCCAAAGTCTAAGGATACGGGGTAAACCATTCAGGACTGAGATGAAGAGAAATTTCATAACTCATTGGTGAGTTTATGGAATTCACTACCACAGAAATCAGTCAAGGCCAGAACGTGGTATGATTTCAAAATGGAGTTGCATCTAGCACTTGGGGGCTGACAGGATCAAAACTATGTGGGAAAGCAGGAATTGGCTATAGAGTTGGATGAGCAGCTATTACAATAACATGTGGCAGAACAAGCTCAAAGGGCTGAATGGCCTACTCCTGCTCCTATTTTCTATGTTTCCATGTAACAAGCAGAATTGATGAAGGGCAATCAGTGGATGTAGTGCATTTTCATTTCCAGAAGGCATTCGATAAGGTGCCAGATTAAACAGTTATTGCATAAGATAGCAGTTCACCATCACCAGGGGTAATATATTCGCATGGACTGAAGATTGTCTCCTGTGTGTAATTCAGAGTCAGGATTGAATGCTCTTTTTCAGATTGGGAAGACATATTAGTGACATGCCCAGAAGAACCAATCCTCAGGCCTCCATTATTTACTGCCCATATTAGAATATTTTGCATCAGTATTTACTGTGGAGAAGGACGTGGAAGCTCGGGAAGTTGGGGAAATAAATAATGACATTTGGAAAGAGTTTATATTACAGAAGAGGAGGTGCTGAAGGTCTTAAAATGCATAAAGGTAGATAAATCCCCAGGCGGCATGATGGCTTAATGGTTAGCACTGCTGCCTCACAGCGCCAGGGGCCTGGGTACGATTCCAGCCTTGGGCAACTGTCTGTGTGGAGTTTGCACATTCTCCCTGTGTCTGTGTGGGTTTCTGCCGGGTGCTCCGGTTTCCTCCACAGTCCAAAGATGTATAGGTTAGGTGGATTAACCATGCGAAATTGCCCAAAGTGTCCAGGGATGTGCAGGCTAGATGAGTTAAACATGGGAAATGCAGCGATGGAGTGGTTCTGGATGTGATGCTCTTCGGAGGATCAGTGTAGACTTGATGGGCCGAATGGCCTGCTTCCAAGCTGTAGGGATTCTATGGATTCTATTACCTGAACAAATGTTTCGCAGAACTTTGTGGGAAGCTTGGGAAGATATTGCTGGACCACTCGCTGAGATATGTCCATGATCAATAGCCATGATGAGGTGTCAGAAGACTGGAGATTGGCTAATGTGGTGCCATTATTTAAGAAAGGTTGTATGGAAAAGCTAGGAAACTATAGACCGGTGAATCTTACATCAATAGTGGGTAAGTTGTTGGAGGGGATTCCGAGGGAGAGAATTTATATGCATTTAGAAAGGCAAGGATTGATTAGGAATAATCAGCATGATTTTGTGCGTGGGAAATTGTGGGGGCAGAAATGTGCAGCACAGAGGGACCTGGGTGTGCTTGTACATATAACACAAATTTAACATGCTAATGCAGTAATAATTGAGAAGAAAAATGGAATTTTGGCCTTTATTGCTCAGGGTATGGAGTTTAGAAAAAGGGAAGTCTTTGTACAACTGTACAGGATGTTGGTGAGGCCGCATCTGGAGAATTTTGTACACATTTGTTCCTGGTATTTGAGAAAGGATGTACTGGCATTGGAGGCAGTTCAAAACAGATTCACTAGGCTCATTCCAGGGATTAAGGGGTTGACCTATTAAGATTACCTAAACAGGTCTGGCCTTTATTCATTATATTTTAGAAAAATGAGGGGTAATAATCTGAAAATATACAAGATTCTGAGAGTGCTTGGCAGATTAGATGTTGAGAAGCTGGGAGAATCTTAGATTAGAGGACACAATTACAGAATAAGGGGACACACATTTAAAACTGAAATACAGTTGAAATTCCTTCTCCCAGATGGTAACAAATGTCTAGAATTCCCTACCTAGGAGAGTTGTGAAGGCTATATCACTGAAAGAACTAAAGAGGTAGCTAGATTTTAAAATATTGTGGAGTTGAGGGCAGTGATGAGCTGACACGAAAGAGGAGTTGAGGCAGATCAGCCATGATTTTATTGAATGGTGGGGCAGATGTGAGGAACTGAATGGTCAACAGAATCTGCTCCTATTTCTTACGATCAAAAAGTGGGTTACATTCATGGCCATTTTTAGATTAAAAGGTTTTTGCCTGGAGTTGGAGATAATGTCTACCCACCGTTAGCACAGCTGTCACAATTTTCTGTTAATGAACAGTTGTACCTTCTCTCACTAAGTCAGACTGACCACTTTACTCCCACTTATTCACAGTCATCCAACTGCCCAAGCTTGTTGTCAGGCAGAATGCACAGCAGGCCACATGACTCCCTTTATTCAGTGTAGGAGCAAATTACTGCAGAATTCGTACTGAAAACAAAAAATACTGGAAATCACAGTGGGTCAGGCAGCATCCATGGAGAGACAGCAAGCCGACGTTTCGAGTCTAGATGACTCTTCGTCAAGTGTGGAGGGGGCAGCATTTATGCAATGGTAGCAGGAGGGGAGTGGAGGGCTGGGGCAGATAAGGTGTTGATAATTCAGTTCAGATTAAGTGATTGGAATGTGAGAATGGCAGAACAATGAAGTGTCTAACTGCCGGATTGGAAAGAACAGATAGTCCCACTGGGCAAGGGGTGTGGCAGCAAGGGTGACCGAGATTGTAAGAAATAAAGCGAAAAGAAAGGTAAGGAATGGCAGTGGGCTCACAATTTGAAGATGTTGAACTCGATATTAAGTAGTGAAGATTGTCAAGTGCCCAGTCTGAAGATGAGATGTTGTTTCTCCAGTTTGCCCTGTGATTCACTGGAGCATTGCAGCATGCTGAGAACAGATAAGTGGGCATGCAAGCAGGATGCTGTGTTAAAATGACTGGCTATGGGCAGGTCAGGGTCATGCTTACACATGGTGTGGGCGTATTCTGCAAAGCCTTTATTCCTCCATTTTAGCTGGAAGATAGAGTAACAAAACAATCATAAGAGCTCACATTCAACAAAAGACTGCTGAGGTAGCTGACCAAGTCAGGTTGGGCAATACAGACTTTAGGGTTCCTGACCTGGGAAGGGATGTGGGCGATCTGAGTGCAGACAGTAGCTTTGGTGGAGAGGGGAGATGATAGAAGGTAAATCATGATTTCTTTTTATTGTCTTACAGAAGGATCAGACTGGACTAAATAACGTTCGGTACAGAAAAAATTACAGGAAGGACAAAAACTGCAGTGCATCCAGATCATCAAAGAATGGCTCTACAGCAAAATCATCTTCTGAAAATCATTCAGTCAAGAGAACTGAACTTCAATGCATTATAGGAAGCAAAACTAATTATCACTATTGAGCACCTCTCCAAAACCAATGTTTCAAAAGCCAGGGTGAGCTTTGAGTTTACTTATTCCAGAGGGCAAAGGGACTTGTATGAACATAGTTGCACAAGCACTGACTTTCACACACAACTGATAAAATTCTTGAAACATTGGCACATCCATTAAGGTAAGAATCTACTAAAATCTGAACTGAGGAAGTAGCTTCAACCATTCTTTTGACTGGACACTCAAAACTAAGTCCAGTAACCAGCAAGAGGTGGGAGAAGAGATTCTCACACTGTCAGACTTCCTAACACAGGTATATGGGAACAGGCAAGAAGGAATTCAGTTGTAAGGATTTGAAGTCACAGTGTGGTTGTCAACATATGTACAGGTACATGGGAGAGAAACCATACAAGTGTGACGTCTGTGGCTGGCCCTTTGCACAGGCGTCTGGCCTTGTGGAACACCTACGCATTCACGCAGGTGAGAAACCATTCAAATGTGAAGTGTGTGGCAATTCCTTTGCACAAGCATCTACCCTCCTGCAACACTGGCGGATACATACAGGTGAGAAACCATTCAAGTGCAAAGTTTGTGGGAAAGCCTTCTTAAAGCAGTCACACCTTGTGGAACATCACCGCACTCACACAGGAGAGAAACCGTTCAAGTGCAACATTTGTGCCAAAGGTTTTGTGACGTCCTCGCGCCTACTAGAACACCAGCGGACCCACACAGGTGAGAAGCCCTTCAGGTGTGAGAATTGTGACAAAGCTTTCACACTTTCCTCATTACTTTTGAAACATCAGCGCACTCATGCCACTGAGAAACCATTCAAGTGCGAAGTTTGTAGCAAAGCTTTTACGAAGCCATTGAGCCTCCGGGTACACAAATGCATCGGGAAAGACACAAAGCCCTTCTGGTGCGCAGTTTGCAAAAAAACTTTCTGCAACTCATCGTACCTTCGTGTTCATCAACGCATGCATACGGGAGAAAGACCATTTCGATGTGAATACTGTAACAAGTGTTTCACGCAGTCATCAAGTCTCCAACAACACCAGCGTATCCACACACAGGAGAGACCATTCAGGTGTGAGATTTGCAACAAAGATTTCTGCAACTCCTCTTACCTGCGTGTACACCAACGAGGCCATACAGATGAGAGACCATTCAGGTGTGAGATTTGTAATAAAGATTTCTGCAGCTCAGCATACCTTGTGGTACATCAGCGTATCCACACCGGTGACAAACCATTCAGGTGTGAGGCTTGCGACAAAGCTTTCTTGAGCTCTTCATACTTCCTGAAACACCAGTGTGTCCCAACGTCTGATAAACCGTTCAAATGTGAGTTTTGCAATAAAGGTTTCACACAATTATCAGACCTCACAAAACACCAGCATACCCACACAGGGGACAGACGATTCCAGTGCAATAGCTGCCAAAACTGCTTCACTTACTCCTCCTCTCTAGAAATACATAACTGTACCAATTTGGGATAAAAACTGTTCCACTACCAAGTTCCTTCCGTTACAAAGTACTGTGCATCAAAACAGGGTGAAAAACATTGTTTTACATTCTATACAGGCAGATCATACCATATAAAGTACATCAGGGTAATAGGACAATGTGCAGAATACAATGTTGCAAGCTGCAAAGAAGGTGCAAAGAGAGATCAATATTAAAATTTGAGAGGTCTGTTCAAAGATCTGAAAGCAGCTTCAAAGAATTATCCAAGTTTCTTGTCCATACTCCTCACCCTCACCCAGAACCACTGCAACTATACTGTGAGAAGAGCAGAATTTCCAGTGCGGATGTCATCTCTCAAACTTCAGGAACATCTAGCATTGCTTCCCATCTGTGTATCCACAGCAGTAAGAAACTGTGGAGGTGCACCATTTTCAGGGCAGCCATGTACCAAAGTGACCAGTTCATCCACAAAGGCAAAACTTCAAACAGTAATGTCTGTATAGTGACAAATTGTAATGGTACCTTTCCAAGCATTATTCAAAAACAAATAAATCTATTCCAATGCATTATTTTACAAGAACATGTCATGTCATATGCTTGCATGAGATGCATTTCTTGCAGGTATTTGGATTTCCAGTTATGAGTCTTTGTTATGCTCTTACTTGACAAACCATTTTTTCAAAAAGAAAATAATGTGCAAAAGAACACAAGTGTCAGGGTTGTACTTAAATGCCAAAGACAATCTTTAATATACAAGGTTTAAAAAGTGGAACAACTTACTATGTATTTGTATAGCTCGTGTTGCAACATTCAGAATTAAAGTGAGATACATATGAGTTAACAAATTGTCATCAATAACCCCATAGGCTGCACTTTAAATGGCTGACACCATCAAGACGGTCCCACAGGTGATGGTCTTATTTCTCAAAAATCCATCTAGGTATCAGTGATACTGTGGGTCACCAATTCTCATTGCTACTCTATCCCAAAAGGGATTCCACTTCTTCACTTTCAAAGATCCTGGAACGCCCTCAAAGTCTTTCTGACTTGGACTGCCTCAAGTACTTATTCCATTTGTAGTTCAGTGACTTCTCCCATTACAGAGTTCCCCAGGATTCCGGAGTCTACTGGCAGGGGTCTAATCACCAGCACAAATTTACCAATTTACCAAAAGCTTTTACCAAACATCTGCTTTCAGTGAGTTGCAGCAGAATGTCTCTCAGCATCAATCTTTTTCGGTTGCACCAATCAAAAACTGCTTGTAAGCTTCCTTCAGCTAACTCCCATTGCACTGAACTACCAATGGCTCCAATGAACCTTTTAGCACTAAACATTTTACCATGGCATGGAGTCATAATCCCTGGGGTCCACTCCTGAGCTCCACAGCCAGCTAAAAGTGGCTCTTGGGACTTCTGAGCCTTAACTGCCTGGAGTCTGCTCACAGTAGCACTTTTGTTCTGTAGAGCTACTTGTATTTCAGAACACACATAGTTCCAAACTGCAACTAACCACCAATCCCAGCAACCATATAAAATGAAAACAGAAAATCTTCTTAAGATCCATTAATCTCCATAACCTAACATTGCCTAGGTTCACTCTGACCTCAAGCCAATTATCTCTCTTTTACAAATTTATTTTTTGATAGGTTTTACATCCTTTCAGCTCACTGAACTGCACACTTTTCAAACTGTGTAGACATCATGTTCTGAGTTACAGAATCTACCTGCTGTTTACAGCTATATCTTTTCTACTTTTCTATTGAATGAACTTGGGAACCTTCTGACCTGCTATTTCATTAGGTATTCTCGCAATCACTAAAGGCCAGAATTTTAATTATCTTGACTTCACAACAATAAAGTTCTCAAAACTATGTATTACTTCTAAAATATTGACATGAACCAGGCAAGGTCAGCAATTGTCACCAACCTTCAATGCCCTTCAAGTGGATTGCTTGGGCATTTCAGGACAGGTAAAAGTCAACCATATTACTGTGGGTCTGAAATTGCATGTAGGCTAATCTAGTAAGGATAACAAATCTTCTTTTCTAAAGTGTTATTTGTGAAACAGATATCACAATCAATGATAATTTCATGGTCATTCAAACTAGAGTTATTAATCAAATTTAAATTACCCCAGCTGCTATTTGAACATATGTCCCCAGGGAAATCGCCTGAATCTCTGCATTACTAGACTACTGCCAGAACTATCATGCTGCCATCTACCCTCTTTTAAGGAAAGGAGGTTGAGAAGGAATTATTAAGGGAACTCGAGTAAAGGGAAAAAATTGACTGAAGAGAAAAGCAAATTTAGAGAAAAATCCTACAAGTGAAGGCTTTGTGAAGTGAGTCCTCTGACTATTTGCTTGTCTCATCCCACATTCCTTCATTTTGCGACAGAGTCTACATACTACGCATTTAATTTGTAGCAGGACCACAGCACTAAAATTTTAAGATGAGATATGCTTGCTGCTCTAGTACTTTGCTTTTGCATTGATGTGAACAGCAGTGTAAGAAAAGTTGAACCGGATACACTGCTTAACTTGGTTTCTTTGTCCATAGATGCTGAGCTTCTCCAGCCTTGTGTGTGTTTATTTCAGATTTCCAGCATCTGCAGTATTTTGCTTTTTCTCCAGCCCCCTCCACCCCTACAAGCTGCTTCTACTTTCAGTAACTTGCTTGGTGTGCCAATGAAGCAGTAAAATGAGATGAGACAATAGTAACGCTCCAGAGCAGCAAAAAGGATTTCAGAGTATGTCCATGTGAGACATCACCATTCAGCTCACTGCAGACAAAGCTTTGAACTTAATTACATTAACCAAAAAAAAAGAGGAAGTATGCCGTTTGATAGGAAATACATTGAAGAGATGATAAATACATAAAAAGTCCTGAAGGTCTTGCTACCATAGGTAGCATACAGCATAGGTTATTATTCCAACATTTTCTTAAAGTTCAATATTCATCACTACCTCCTCCAGTGTCCACTTCTACACTCTGTTTTGATCCCTAGGTCCACTTAATTACTTCCGTCAGTTTTCATCATGAATAATGTGGTTTTTGATAGTTACAGATGCCACCTATCCCATGCTTTGATGTACCTCGATATTGTACTCATTTTGCATTTAATTTGTAGCAGGACCACAGCACTAAAATTTTAAGATGAGATATGCTTGCTGCTCTAGTACTTTGCTTTTACATTGATGTGAACATCAGTGTAAGCATATTCACAGTTAATCAATGGACATTCAGATAGAGACAGGATATCTGTATCTGTTTGGGTCTGTCATTGTTGTTTCAGTAGTAATTAAATCAATATCTGCACCTTTTCCAGCACATCTAAAGTCAAGCCATAGTCTGCACTGGGTGACCTAGTGGACAATAGCCACCCATAAAAGCAGTTGCCTCACTTTTAACTCTTCTGTAAAAAAATAATGTAGTGAAGAGAAAAAGTGTTATTCAAACCCAATTCAAAGAAAATTAAGATTATGATTGGTAACAATCCCAGTTTACTTAGTCTGTTTAGTCCCAACAGCACTTTGATAGTATGGCAGGGAGATGGAACTTCTTGGAACTGCATTAATCCTGTTATAATTATCCAAGATTAAGTTGGCATTCTGGAAAAGTGCATTGAGGCTTTGAAATGATTTTTACTTCAGTTTGAAAATATAGTTTAAAATATTAATGTATGGTCAATTGCTACTTATAATCTGCTGATCTGGTACGTTCCTATAAATTTACATCTTACAACATTATTTTGACTGTTATTGTGACGTCATTCCAATTGCACCAATTACCCATTCTCTCTGCTCTGGACACTTGTTAGGTTTAGTCAGTAGATGGCGTGGAACTGTAGAAGAAGAGTCTAGGCCCGAAACGTCAGCCTTCCTGCTCCTCTGATGCTGCTTGGCGTGCTGTGTTCGTCCAGCTCTACACCTTGTTATACTGGAACAGTAGTAAATGGCTTTGTGAAATTTCCAGAGACTCATTGGGAAAGCGAATTATGATAAATACTTAACAGCTGTTACTCTGCCCGGTTGCAATGATTTGTGGATACCCAGCAACCCAAAGTCGTGTCCACAAGTTGTATAGCACACAGCAAGAGGAATAGAATTTTTTTTTAAATGCAATATGCATCAAAAAATTCTGTAACAAAACAGAAGTTGCTAGAAAAGGTCAGCAGGCCTGGCAGCATCTGTGAAGAAAAAAAATCAGAGTTAACGTTTCGGGTCTGGTGATCCTTCCTCAAAACTTTAGGTTTTAAAAAAATCTGTGCTCAGAAACCAGGGACAGCAGTTGGTTCCAGCTGGTCCTACCAACTAGGGGGAAGGAGAGAAAGAAAGCTGGGGAGAGGAAAGGTCCTGCTGCTGTTTGAAACAATAAAACCTGCACCTATGTAATGCACAGGAAAGAACATCTAATTTCAGGAACACTCAATAGTTTCAAAATAGGGGCATGGAGGTTTAATTTGTAGCACTCTGGAATTCATGGATCATGTATATATTGGTTGTGGGTGATTGCACTTCCTTTTTAGTTTAAAAGTCTTCTGTTGTGCTTTTGGTTTTAAACTTCATACCCAGACTCCTGATCTTTGGGCACCTGGTGCAGAGGGGTGTGGGCAGATCAGAGGACCTCCTCATGTCTGTTCCTGGGCCTGGCTAGGCTGGCCATAAACAGGTCCAAGCAGCAGACTGTGGAGGGGTCATCTCTGCCAACTATCCGCCCCTCTTCTAGAGTTACATTCATGCCAGCGTGTCCTTGGAGAGGAAGCAAGCGGTGTCCATCAGTGCTATCAATTTTAATTACCTTGCCTTCACAATAAAGTTCTCAGAACTATGTATTACTCCTAAAATATTGACATAAACCAGGCAAGGTCAGCAATTGTCACCAACCTTCAATGCCCTTCAAGTGGATTGCTTGGGCATTTCAGGACAGTTGAAAGTCAACCATATTACTGTGGGTCTGAAATTGCATGTAGGCTAATCTAGTAAGGATAACAAATCTTCTTTTCTAAAAAGTGTTATTTGTGAAACAGATATCACAATCAACAATAATTTCATGGTCATTCAGACTAGAGTTATTAACCAAATTTAAATTTCCCCAGCTGCTGTTTGAACATATGTCCCCAGGGAAATCGCCTGAATCTCTGCATTACTAGACTACTGCCAGAACTATCATGCTGCCATCTATCCTCACTTAAGGAAAGGAGGCTGAGAAGGAATTATGAAAGGTGGTATGCAGGGATAAGAGTGCTTTATTTCTCCCCACCAACTCCATTTTGATTGAGCCTCTTCCCTCTCCCCCTACACCCCCTCACTTTTGATGGTTTGTTTATTGATCAAAATTGGCATTTCATGACTTCTGAGGAAGAGTCACCAGACCTAAAATGTTAACTCTGTTTTTTTCTTCACAGCTGCTGCAAGACCTGCTGAGCTTTTCCAACAACTTCTGTTTCTTTTCATGTAAATATTGAATTAGCTACAGGGGTATATTCATGGACGGTGGACAGTAGTTTAAAAAAAAACACAAAAAAGTCAGTGATTTTGATGATGGGAAGGTTGGTCAGTTGCGTGTGATAACTCTTATGGGTAGAAAAAATAGATGCATGGAGGTCAAGGAATGAGCTTGGAATTGGGAACCCGACATGCATGTGACACCCATTCTATGTAAGAAGGTTTGTATCAAAGAACTACCAATTAAACTCTCTCAAGGCTTCCATTCTGCCATTCTAAGCACTGATTCTCCAATTGTGCTGTATTTTAAATGCACCTTTCTGTAACCATGGATTGTTATCCACTTTCATTTTAATAACATCTGTAAATGTCAGTGTCATTCCCTGATTCCATAGCCAAAATCTAAATCATCAATGTACGTTGATCTGCATAAAGTTCTAAAAATGAATAATGTGGGATACCGCTGCCTTTTTCCAACCATTTGAGAAAATGTTCTTAACAACTGATTCAGCTAGGCCTTTTCTATTAGGTGCATCAGCTAAATCAGCTGGCAAATTCAATTCAGCCTTGGACTTAGAGTATGCATTTGCTAGGTAAGAGTGTCTAAAATTCATAACTTAAACAAAATATGATTCAGATGGTAGGTTGGATGATGTGTTGCAATTGTAGCATGTGGGAGCTGCTGGGCAACAAGGTGATCCACAGCGAACACATCTAGAGCAAGGTAAGAGCAAATTACTGCAGATGCTGGAATCTGTACTGAAAACAACAAATGCCGGAGATCACAGTGGATCAGACAGCATCTATGGAGAGAGAGCAAGCTAGCATTATGTCTAGATGACTCTTCAAAACTGAAGTGCAGCATGGAGGAAGCAGCTTTTATGCTATAGTTGGTAGGGTGGTGAGATGTAGAGTGCTTGGGGAGAACTGATATTTGTTTGTTCATATTAAGTGATTGGAGTGTGAGAATGGCAGAACAGTTGTGTGTCTAACTGCCAGACTGGAAAGAACAGACAGTCCTACTGAGGTGGGGGAAAGGGAGAGAGGACATGGTGACAAAGAATGTAACAAGTAAAGCTAAAAGGAAGGGAAGAAATGGGAGTTGGTTCACAATTTGAAGGTGTTGAGCACAATATCAGGTCCAGAAGGCTGTAAAGTGCCTATTTGGAAGATGAGATGTTCTCCAGTTTGTGCTGTGCTTCGCTAGAGCACTGCAGCATGCCAAGGTCAGACATGTGGGCATGCGAGCAGGATGCTGTGTTAAAATGACCAGCTATGAGCAGGTCAGTGTCATGATTGTGCACAGACCAGAGGTGTCCTGCAGATTGGTCACCCAGTCTGCGTTCGGTTTCTCCAATGTACAGTAGGCCTCATTGGGTGCAGAGAATACAACACACAAGATTGGAGGAGGTACAGGTGAAATGCTGCTTCACCTGGAAAGGCCATTGGATGGTGATCAGGAAGGAGGTGAAGGGGCAGGTGTAACACCTCCAGCGGTTACATGGGAAGGTGCTGTGGGAATGGTGGTGGGGGGGAGGGGGGCAATGGTGTTGGTGGTTGTGGAATGCACTAGGGTGTCCCAGAGGGAACAATCCCTGTGAAATGTAAACAGGGCAGCGAGGGGAAGATGCGTTTGGTGGTGATGTTCTGATGGAGTTGTCTGAAATGGCAGAGAATGATCCTTTGAACGTGGAGGCTGGTGGGATGAAAAGCAAGGACATGGGGGACCAATCACACTTTTGTCAGTGAGAAAGGGACAAGGGTGTTAGGTCGGATGCACCTGAGGGCCCTGTCAACCATAGTGGGTGGGAAACCACGGTTATGGAAGAAGCAAGCCATGTCAGCAGCTCTGTTTTGGAAGGTGGTATCATCTCGGTAGATGTAACATAAGTGAAGGAACTGGGAGAATGGGGTGGAGTCCTTGCAGGACGTGGGTGTGAAGAGCTGTAGTGAAGATAGCTACAGGAGTCAGTCGCTTTGTGGTGGATGGCAGCAGTCAATTTATTCCCCAAAATGGAGGCAGAGAGGAGAAGGAAAGGAAGGGAAGTGTCGGAAATGGATGATGTTAAAGTTCTAGAGGGGTGGAATTTGGAGACAAAATGAACAAATTTTTCAAGATCCTGGCGGCAGCATGAAGCGGCACCGAAGCAGTCGTCGATGTAGCGAAAAAGATTTGCAAGGTGGCCAGCAATAGGACTGGAAAAGGATTGTTCCACATTTCCCATAAGGAGTAACTGGGGCCCGTGTGGGTGCCCATAGCCACTCCTTTGACTCGGCACAAGTGAGATGAATTAAAGGAGAAATTGTCTTTTTAGCTTTACTTGTTACATTCTCCATGTCCTCTCTACCCCCACCTCAGTGGGACTGTCTGTTCTTTCCAATCCGGCAATTAGACACATCATTGTCCTGCCATTCTCACATTCCAATAACTTAATCTGAACTGAACCTTATCTCCCCAGTACTCCATACCCCACCATCCCACAACCCCACACATACACCCCTCCACACTTTACTTCAGCTCTGAGGAAGAGTCATCTAAACTCAAAACATGAACTTGCTCTGTCCATGGATGCTGCCTGATCTCGCTGTGATCGCCAGCATTTGTTGTTTTCAGTACATCTATAGCAAGCGTTTGCGGCTTGAGCTACTTTGGATCCGAGTTGAGGAGGTGGAGCCTGAGGTGCAAGTGACTATCATTAGCATTTTCTCCAGTCCACTAGTACAATTCCGGTCACCAAACAGTGATTCAGAAAGTGCAATCCAGCATGGATTATTCATAGGGTACACACTCACCGATGAGATGTTTACTTCTGCCGTGTGACATTGTGCGACAATCCCCTGTGCTGCTTCTATTTGAGATATTTGCTGTTCTCCGCGCTGAAAACACTGCCTGTGCTGCTTTTATTTGAGATATTTGCGGTTCTCCACACTGAAAACACTGCCCTGGTTATTATGTTGTCTCTGCTCCTGGGACTGCACATGCACTGGGTAGACGATATTCTCGCCCTGGCCGAACTACATTACCCATACTGCACGTGGTGCCTGCGCTCTGATTGTCGGCAGTTTTGGGCGGCTTTAGTGATGGTTTGCAACCCTGGCCCGCGGTGCCTGACGGGAGTCGTAGTTCTGAGCCGCGCGCCGCGGCGGTTTGGAGCTCGAGCGCTGGCGGTTGGGGAGGGTGGGGTAGGGGGCGCGGTGCTGGAGTTGGAGGTGCGCACCTGTAAACCGTGAATAAAGTGTACAGCTGGATGAACACAGCAGGCCAAGCAGCATCAGAGGAGCAGGAAGG